CCACCCTCTGATTAATGAAATAAGTTGGTATCGGTTCATGGTATCGGTTAACTTTTACGAGTATGAGTACACACACATTTTACAGTATCGGCTCCGATACCCGATACCAGTATCGGTATCGGTGCATCCCTATAGAAAACCTCAATGTTCTTCACACAATCATCTGCATTTTGGCTTAATTTGTACCAACAAGTAATTCGACTGTGTCATTCGCTGTTCTTTATGGATGCTTTGTTTTGACCATGACTCATGTTGGGAGTGTGTGTGTGAGCTTACGTTGGCACGGGGTTGCCCTTGGCCTCACACTCAATGATGATGTTATCTCTGGGGTCCACAATGTAGTTCTTTACTGACTGTTTCATGATAGTTGGGGGCTGCTTCACTGGGGGAGAGAAAGACACCACCTAATCACATCCACTGGAGAAAACACAGCATTATATTTGTAAAGAGCCATCATGGTACTTGATACTTTCTATGAGTGATTAAGATGTTGAACACTTTCTATTATCACTGTGCTTTAGTAATAATACAAACAGACAAACAGTCACTTGTAGCCCATAAATCAACGTCTGATGAAAACTCTAGCACATTTACACTAGACTTGAGTTCAGTATGGAAATGTTATGTGAGGGGCTCCACAAGGACGACCTGGGACTAGATAGAGCATTGTTTATCAGAAACTGTTCAATAAATTCCCTTTTTCTACGTTTGAGAGATATTTGCTGGATGGAAATAAAAGAAAGTTGAGATGTCCTTGACTGCGTTTGTGCTTGGCTCACTTCTTCACATGCTGCATCACAAATGTGCTACAAAGTCAGGTCATCAGCATGTTTCATGTCAGAAAGACCCAGACTGTAATATAGAAGCACATGCGAACAGTGCAGTCTCCCAATATGGACTCTATTCAGAGGACGTTGCAGGAGTGACATTGAAGGCTGTTTTTAATGCACGTGCTCACTTTGGCACACTAAGTGCATACTGTTGCTTTCACTTGCAGCTGCTTGGTCAGGTTTAGACTGTGTATGAGGTTAAATATGTTTATTGTATTCTTGAGTTTAAACTTTGCATTCAAATCTGGTCTTAAGTGAGGACTCATGACGGTGTTGATGGAGTCACAGCGCTGCTTTAATATTACAGTTTGGACCTTTTTTAACGAATGCCACTGGCTTTGTTAAAACACCCCTATATGACCCTGTGAGTGAAGGACAACAGGTTTGCTCTGAACGTGGGGACAGAAACGTGTTGGAACACTTACAGTCTTGCTGGATCTTTGCTGTTAGTCCAAAGTAACGCCAAGGAGACACAGAATAAGATGCACAAGCTGTGATTGTTAATCATATTAGAGACAAATACACATTAATATTGTGTTACAGCTGTTATCACACACAGCTCAGTGGTTCCCGACTGGCCCACTAAGCTCATTTTAAGTGGGTCAACAACAATATTTAACAGTGGTAAAAATGCATGAAGTACTCCATGCAGGTGTGACTGTCTACAACCAGCTCTGCCAAGTGTCACTGTAGCTTTGCTATGTTGAGCAGAGCCGATCATTTCAAGGATCATGTGGGTACGTTTATCTGTAGCATGGAAGCAGGTGTTCTCAGTAAAGGGCCTCAGGTAGCAGACACGGCTGGCTTAGATCATTTTGAGAAAGGACTGCTTTGGTTTCCTGCAGACAATCCGTCTCCATATAAAGCTTTGGAGTCATGCCAAGTACAAGGTTATCAAATCAGTGCATCAAAAATCATATACTTTCACCAACAGGTGGAAGCTCGAGTTAATAGGAGGCTCCATTTGAAGTTGCTAATTTCTTTTTTTATATACACATTTCAAGACTTATAGATACGATCATATCTTCACAGACCCTATTTTTATCTCACAAGTGCATTACTGGGTATAGTGGTTTACACATTTGCATAACAGGCCAAAGATCTCCAGTTCAGTCCCGAGATGATGCACAGATGCTTTTCAGACCTGCAGGGTGAGTCTTTACACAGGGAGCAGCTTTTGTCCAGTCACAGCAAGAGATGTGAACCGTCCAGCAGAACTGATGTGTTTTCATGGCCAGTAGAGAACCACTGTTATAGCTTGCATGTGTAAGTATGTACTATATTAATTCCATCCATTCGCTTCCGCTTCTCCTTTTCAGGGTCTCGGGGGGCGCTGGAGCCTATCCCAGCTGTCATAGGGCGAGAGGCGGGGTACACCCTGGACAGGTCGCCAGTCTGTCGCAGGGCCAACACACAGACAGACAACCATTCACTCGCACATTCACACCTATGGGCAATTTGGATTTTCCAATTAACCTATCCCCACTAAGTGCATGTCTCTGGACGGTGGGAGGAAGCAGAGGAAGTAACCACGGAGAACCCACGCAAACACGGGGAGAACACGCAAACTCCACACAGAAAGACCTGATGGTGGAATTGAACTCAGGACCTTCTTGCTGTGCAGCAACAGTGCTAACCACCGTGCCACCATTACTACTACTACTATATTAATTGTTTTAAAAACAATTAAATCTGTGAAATTGAATGGAGGAGCAGTGGATGAAGACTTACCTGTAGTGAGTTCACATGCCAGGAAAGGACAAGCAGTGTGGGACAGAGAGACAACACACTATTACAGCACTTTACCAAAGGAGATATACAGAAGATTGTTATGTGCAGAGGACAATAAGAATCCTTTATTTAGCTGGACTCAGAAGTCCGTCATTTCTCACAGTATTTAGTTTACTGAGATGGATACACTGGAACGTCCTGAAAACTATTTTAAACTTGGATGCAAATGAGTTGATTCTGGTGTCAGTGAGGCTGCTGTTAACAACTTTGTTCTCAATAATTTCCAAGTATCTCCCAAAAGCTCCACCCTGCTCTCAAAGGATGTTTTCACCCAAAGAATAAACTAAAACAACCTGACATAGATTCAAACATGCTCATGTGGGTAGAGTATACAGTAGAAACACTATCAGACGTGTACCCTACATTCACCATGACTGCATGAGTCACTTCCACTGCACTTCCAGGGCCCTAAAAACATCACACTGGACTAACTGTTGGAAAAGTGAGGTGTGGAGCTACAGCTAGTTTTGATGCAGCTTTGGGGGACTTACGGTCTTCTGGGACTTCAATGGGTGCTGCTTCCTGCCACAGTAGCAGCAGTAATGACATGAAAGTCAGGGCTGCATGCTTGTCCTGCCACAACATCTCTGTCCCTCCAAATGTTTGCCCCTCACAGTTGGCCAGACTCTGTCCTGACAGCCGATAACCTGAGAGCAGAGAGAGATGATGAAGACAGTCGACTGACAGTACAACAGACACGTGTGTGTGCGTGTGTGTGTGTGTGGTGTGGGGGTGGGGGCTGAGTGTGTAGCTGCATAGAGCCATTCTGGCATGCAGAGCTGTTTGTTGGCCTGGCCTACATTCACAGCTGAGTCCCTGTGTGAGTCCCTGTGTGCGTCCCTGTGTGCGTCCCTGTGTGAGTCCCTAGAGAGTGCAGCCCAGAAACAAACCCATGAGCGCTGGGCTCAGGGCCCACGCTGTTGGTTCATAAAACAGAATGTGGAGGAAAGGGTTCATCTGAACATTATCTTGTTACCAACTTTATTTTGTGCTTTAAGGGTTGTTTTGGATTTAAGATCATTTGAGCCCCGTTTCATTGGACTGGAGAATTATTCCTCTTATCTTAATATTGTAGAGGAATCGTTAAAGCACTGTGGTTTGCAGGTCTTATATGTGAATGCTGTTTATATGTGATAAACAGCATTTAACACACTAAACACTGTATGCACGGGACCAGACCGTTGGTACCAGGAGCTTTCGATTTATCACTTTAAAATATGATTTTAATGAAAAGGTTATAGAGGAAAAGGGTTTGTCAAGAGAGTTCATGAAGATCATGGAAGAGTCTGCAACAATGGACGATGGACAAAAGGATAACATAAAGATGCCAAACAATTTCTTCACAGTGAAACAAAGATTGCAAAGTCTAAAACAAAAACTTCTCAACGATGAACAGTTGCATAAAGAATATAAAAGCTTCATGGACGAGATGATAAGTAACGGATATGCAGAGCAAATACCTTCAGAGCAAATGGGTTGCAAAAATGGAAAGTGGTACATTCCTCATCATGCTGCCTACCATCCCAGGAAGGATCTATAAGAACTGTATTTGACTGTGGGGCATCATTAAACAAGCAGCTCTCACAAGCACATTGCTTTGGGTTTTGCTTAGATTTTGACAGGATCCAGTCGCATTTATGGGTGACATAAAGTCAATAAAGGACATAACTGAGTCTCGCATGACTGTTCATCTGTTCGGTGCAGTGTCTTCCCCGAGCGGTGCCAGTTTTGCTT